GATGGCAGGGATCCCCTGCTCAGAGGTTGTGTCTACAGAAGGGTTATCCCTCTTTATCTCGAAGCTGCTGTGGCCAGGACGCCCCACAGCTCATGTGCCTCAATAAAGGATTCTACCCCTTGACCCTGGCGGGTGATGGTGTAGCGTCTGGTGAGAGTTGGCAGGAGTGACGGGTACTTGCAGGACCCCGGGCAGTGCCTGGGTCCTCTTGCCATCCTCTGGCCCCAGTGGCCTCTCTTCGCCGCACCGCTGTCCCCTGGGGCAGAGAAGAGCCGCCGGTGCAAGATTCCGACGCTTCCCATCTCCACACCCTGCAGAGGTCTCCGTGCACCTCACCCGCCTCCTGAGAGCCTTGGGAGCCGAGCAGAAGCGGGTCGGCTTCATTCCGTGGTTTAGACAGCAAGCTGGAGGACAGGCTGCCAGAGTCACACTGCTAGTGAAGAAATGAACTGTCCTCAGGTCTTGGGACTCCCAGCCCCAAACCCTTCACTCAGACCAGTCCTTGTGCCCTGGCTGGGTGGCGGGATGCCTGGAGTTGCCCCTGGAGCATCCGGACAGTGGGTGTGGGTCGGCCCCACAGCCCAGTCTACTTTGTGGTTTTACGTGTACCGGACATTTCATATAGACAGAACCGTGCGGCACGTGGGCCGTGTGTCTGCTTTTCTCTGAGTGGCGTGTCTTCCAGGGTCACCCCTGTGGTTGCGTGTCGGTGCTCTGTGCCTTTTTACGGCTTAACTGGTCCGCTGTGTGCATGGGCCCCTTTGTGAGCAGTGTGGCTGTAAACCTTCACGTACAAGTATTTGAACACCTGTTCTATATTCTTTCAGATCTATACCTAGGAGTGGAGTTGCTGGGTCATGAAATTCTATGTTTATTTTTTGAAGAACCACAACAGCTGCACCATTTTACATTCTCACCAGCAATGTACGAGGGTTCCTATTTCTCCGCATCCTTGCTAGTACTTATTTCCCCCTTTTTCTTTTTTTTTTTTTTTTTATAAATTTGTTTATTTTATTTTATTTTTGGCTGCGTTGGGTCTTTGTTGCTGTGCGCGGGCTTTTTCTAGCTGTGGCGAGCGGGGGCTACTCTTCGTTGCGGTGCGCGGGCTTCTCTTCGTGGTGGCTTCTCTTGTTGCGGAGCACGGACTCTAGGTCTGCGCGTTTCAGTAGTTGTAACTCGCGGGCTCCAGAGCGCAGGCTCAGTAGTTGTGGCGCACGGGCTTAGTTGCTCCGTGGCATGTGGGATCTTCCCGGACCAGGGCTCGAACCTGTGTCCCCTGCGTTAGCAGGCAGATTCTTAACCACTGCGCCATCAGGGAAGCCCGCTTTTTTTTTTCTTTTAATTGTGGCCATCCTCGTGGGCCTGAGGTGGTGTCTCATGGCTCTGACTTGCATCTTCCTAATAGTGACCACTGAAGTCGAGCATCCTTTCAGTGCTCACGTGGCCTTTCACGTATCTTTGCAGAAATGCCTTTTCAAGTCCTTTGCCCATTTTTCAGTGTTTGTGCTTTTGTTGTTGAGTTGAACGATGCTGAACGCATCTGTGGATTTTAGTCTTTCCGCAGGGTGCTCCTGTGCACACCAGGGCCAGAGCTGCTGGGTGGGACTGGGGTCCTGCTGGCCACCCCTTGCTGTGCTCCTGGGCTGTGCCTTCGCCGAGCCTGGTGGCCTTTCTGGGGGTGAGGGTTGCCGTCGTCCTGTTTACAGTGACGGAAGCTGTGAGGGGGTTTTCCACTCAGGCCTCTCAGGACGCTGGGTGGAGGACCCACTGCCCCCGGGGTGGATCAGCCGCCTTTCCCTCCAGGACCGCAGATGTGGGGGTCCTATGCCGCGTCCGCGTTCAGCCTGCAGGCGGGAGGGGCCAGCTCCACAGGGGGCAGGGGTGCACTGTCCCTGCTACACCAGCAGCGTTCGCGCTGGGCAGGGGTGCGGGGTCGGCCTGGAAAGTTTCGCTGTGAAGTCGCACAGGCACGTGAGCCTGAGGCCCCCGCGAGCTGAACTGCTGTCTCAGGAAACGGGTGGCAGTGCCAAGAGGACCCAGAGCAGCGTCCCAGGTGCCCTGCGCTCGCCTTGGGTGTTGTCCCCACAGCCTCGGCGTCTGTCCTCAGTAAGCTAAGTGCAACCAAACTGTAACGCTACTGGGTTTTTTTATAAGATTATTTTTTCTGACTACAAAAGAAAAATGTACTTTAAAATGCAAACGCGGGGACTTCCGGGGTGGTGCAGTGGTTAAGACTCTGCTTCCAACGCAGGGGGTGCGGGCTCCATCCCTGGTCCCAGAGCTGAGATCCCACATGCTGTGCAGCGTGGTCAAAAACAAAAAAATGCAAATGCATCAGACACATGTGACTTAAAGCAGGCTGAAGGCCGCTGTCTTGGAGGCGACAGGACAGAGGTGGGGCAGGGGCCCTGGATTAGGACCAAGAGCTTCCCTCTCCCGTCCAGCTCCAGGCCCGCCCGTCAGGGCCCCCCGGGCCTTGGGGGTGATTTTCCGGCTTGGCTTGCTGACCGCAACACCGCCAGGAGGTTTGGCGAGACCTCTGGGGACCTGAGCACGGTGCGCCCGCCTCGCCTGCAGTCCTCAGCGAGAATGCTCCTGCGCAGACTTTCGTCAGGGCTTTTTCTGCTTAGTAAAAGCGCGGCCTGATACCACTGGCTGGGTCAGCTCTGGGGCACGAGTGGTGCCCGCTTGATGGACTGGCCGCAGTGGTCCCGAGGGGTCCTCATGCCTGCTCACCCAGAAAGGGTGTGTCTTGTGCACGGAATGACCCATTGCTGAGCTGCCTTGTAACAGGTGTAGGAGATGGTGAAGCTGTAGGTCAGCGAGTGTCTATTTGCCCTTTTGTGCTACTCTTCCCACCTGCACCGGCCGTCTGTTCACTCTGGCAGGTGGAATCACCGCCATGCTCCTGGCTTCGGGTCACTTCGTAAAGCCAGGGACGAGGACTGCCCAGTTCAGCCAAAGGGTCTGCAACTCCAAGTCAGAACTGCCCTCATTAAAGGAGTGAGAGCGAAGCTGGGCAGCGGCCACCGTGGAGGCCCCAGCACGACCGCGTGCCAGATGCTGGCCTTGGACAGGGGACGTCGCCCCGAGCACCTCGTTTCTCCTCTTTAGTTAATTCTGGGTTTTTCTTACTGAAATCATGGTATGAGGGGAAACCGAGACCTACCTGAAACAGGAGGCCGCCAGAGGGCCCGCAAGTGGGGTCGGGTCGTCTGAGAGGGGCCTTGACCCCGCTCGCGTCCAGACTGCTCCCAAGCCACACCTGGCCAGCCCTTCACTCACCCATCGGCGCCTAAGACCCCCAACCTTGGTTGGACACAGGCCTGCAGTGGAGTCCTGGCACGCTCGGGCTCAGTGATGCTGGACCTTGTGTCCGGGACCTCTGAGTCGGGGGTGCCTCGCTTTGTGCTGGGTTAACGCTCCCGCTGCTGCCTGTGGAGCAGGTATTCTGGAACCCCTGTTTTATAGGGCAGGGGGCCAAGGCCGCCCGCGACTCCAGCCTACCCCCTTGCTGACCCTCCGCTGCCATCACAGCTGCTCACCGCTGAGAGCATTCAAGCCGGGAAGCTCCTGAATCAAGTGACCTAACGGCCCTCGGGGAAGCCAGTCTCCTGCCCTCTGACCCTCTGTGCTCGGAGACCGAGCCTGTGTGAACACCAACGAGGCAGAGGCCACCTGTGGCCCTGCACCCAGAGGTACACACTAGCACCTCCTCTGGCCCCTGTGCTGGCCCTCGACCAAGGGAGGCCTCCGAGCCTGTCCCCACTTCTTGTCCCTAGTCCCAGTTGGAAGGGGGACACACACGGGATGGGAAGGAGGGCCTGGCACAGCTGCGGTGGCCTCACCACCAGCGCACGTGGCCCCAAGCCCTCTCCGGCCTCGTCTGCCATGTGTGGTGACGGGAAGTTAGCCACGGCCATGGCTCCTATGGGGACACTGAGACGCACTTGCTTCCCAGTCCGTACGACACGGGGTCCTGCCCTCCACTTCTGGGGCCACGTTTCTCTGCACACTGACAGTGCTGGCTGAAGGGCAGTGTGGCAGCCCCGCCCGTCCCGGAAAGCACAGGGGGTTCCAGGGGGCAGGCTTTGGGGAAGAAACAAAACCCTAGCCAGCTGGTTCCGTGACTAAAGCAAGACATCGCTCTGGGAATCATGTAATGTCCTCCCTCCACATAACCGACTTTTCTAATTCAATCCACCACCTCCAGGCTGATCCCAAGCTCCTCTGGTCAACTTTACAGAACCTCAAGTGGCTGCGTGTAAGAGCCCAACATGAGTCCCGTGGACGTTTGAATTTTTCCTTTTTATTCTAGTTCACAGTTGTTGAGGCATAGCTTTGCTTCAGCAGAAAGGATACCAGAGAGAGGAGAGGCACCTGGGAGGGGAGGCAGACAACCTCCTCCCTCCACCCAGCCAGCTTCAGGGAGAGTGCAGAGTCAGCTAGCGCAGCTGGTGCCAGCGCCGCGGGGGCTGGGCCCAGCAGCAACCAGGGGACACCCTCAGCTCCGGGCCAGGTGGGCAGCACACAGAACCTCAGCTCCCCCAGCGAGGAGGGGGCTCTCCCAGGGCCCCCAACTGGAGGACGAGGGCCTTCCCCCAGGTGAGCCCCCGCTGGCCCACGTTAGAGCGCAAACCAGACACGCAGCATGGAAAACACCAGCCTGTCAATCAGCCAAAAGCTGCACCCCGAGGGTTCCAGGCGACTTCGGATCCTGGGGGACCAAACGCTGTGTCCACCGCCCAGCACCAGCAGCCGGAAGGAGCCTGCACCCAAGGGAAGCGTGACTCACCCTTGGGACAGAAAAACAGAGGCAACCTTACCCCTGCCCAGGACTCACTGTGGCTACCGCAGGCCGAGGCCCTGGGATCGGCCCTGAGGCCGAGGGGTGAGTGGGAGTGCGGGCCGCTCAAGCTCGCGCTGACCCGTTCTGGGTAAAAGCAAGGGCAAGGTGCTCTCGACGCCCTGGAGGGAGGCGTCCGCCTGGGCCCACGCCTCTAGAGCAGCCGCTCGGGGGCCCGCAGGCCCCAGTACAGTGCACAGCCCATGTCGTCGATGTCCTCTTCCCGCAGGCCGTCCAGGAGATTCACGCCACGGCTGAAGTGGCAGGGCAGGCTGGCCCGCTCCAGGCTGCCGATGAGCAACTCCAGGGCCTGCAGGAAGTGCTCCCCCAGGGCCTCCTCAGCCCAGTCCGCTTCCTGCTCGCCCAGGTGCAGAACCACCTGGGTCAGGGGGCCGCGGCCCAGCCGCCCCAGCGCCGGGTGGCCACGGCAGACGCCGCAGAGCAACAGCAGCAGCCGCCGGCGGGTCCCGGCGTCGCGCTCATCCAGGGCCCGCAGCTGGGCGGCCTCTGCCGGGTACCAGTCCTGCAGCCAGAGGTTGCCGGCCAGCCCCTCCAGGGGCCAGGCCAGCAGGAGGTCTCCGGCTTGGGCGCCGGCAATGGCCAGGAGCACAGCCACGGGGAACTCCAGACACTCGTGCTGCACCTCGAGCAGCAGTTCCTCCGAGGCCACACGCGGCCGGATCAAGCACCCGAGGAGGCTGCCGATGGCTGGCCAGTTGACGGAGGCGGTCAGGGCCTTGCGGAGCAGCTCCAGCAGGACCCGGGAGGAGAGGTAGCCGCCTACCAGGAAGCGGTCCCAGGGGCTGCTCCCGCGGGGGTGGAACTCCAGCTGAGTCCTGCGCACGGCCCAGCAGCGAGGGTCCTGGGCTACGGTGTCCACACCGGGCACCAGGCTCCACAGGTCAGGCTCCAGCACCAGGGGCACCAGGAGACGCACGGGGTCGGCGGCCCCCGCCTGCAGCCCATCGTAGAGCAGCCCGCCAGGCACGAGCGCCCCGAAGGGCAGCTCTGGGAACTTGTTCCGAAGGTAGGCCTGCAGCTCCAGGGCAATGCCGCCGGCCAGCTGCTTAGCCAGAGCCACGTGGGCCACTGGCACGGTCACGTGGTCCCGCTCGAACGCCAGCAGCTTCTCCTGGAACGTCAGGCACACTGACGGCGCTGGGGAGCAGAGCTGAGGCGACGTCGGGGGATCTGCGTCTGCGGGCCCCTCTGTAGAGTGAAGGGGCCCGGGAGCTGTGTCAGAGGGACTGTAACATGACCACCTGAGAAAGCACCAACCTCAGGTCCTCACGCACAGTGAGCGCTTGATGACGGGTTCTCATCGTCCTACGCCCTGAGGCTGAGACGGCTTCACGCAGCGGGGGAAACTGGCCCCCATCTGAGGGCCCCGCCGTCCTAATGCTGCCACCTTGCTCCATTGCCACCCCACACGGTCCACGTGTTCCGGTGGCTGGAGCCTCAGCACCACCCAGGAGGAGGAAGGACAGACAAATGCGTCATTAAACACTCAGGGAGCCCGTGGCCCTGGGGGAAGAGGGGCCCAAATGGGTCACACGGTCAGTCAGGGGCAGGGCCTGGCTGCATCTCCTGAACCTCACCACCAAAAGGGGACCCACCCAGGTCAGACAGGAAGGGGTGCCACTCACCTGGGGCTGAGGGTGAGGGGGCTGGGGGCGGCACGGGCTGGCTGAGGGCTGCGGGCCGCGGCTGGGGCTGGAGGCGTGGTGTGGCCTTGAGCAGGCTCAGTTCCTGCCAGCTGTCCTCCAGGCACGTGGAGTCCCGCTTGGCGTCATCCTCATCCCGAGGGCTGGTGGCCCTGTCGATGAGCTGCAGGCAGAGTGACAGATGAGACAGCTGAAGCCCGGGCAGGAACGGCAGAGCCGAGGGCAAAGCCAGGCTGGTGGGGTAGAGGCAGGTGCGGCCTCGGGCAGTCCCACCATCGCCGCCCCGCTCTGGGAGCCCCGGGGTCACCGGGCCAGCCCGGCCTTACCCGCTTCACAGCCAGGGTGGCAATGCCCAGCACAGCAGCTCCGCCCACCCCCAGAACCAGGCGGGCGTTGGCCAGAAGGAAGTCCACAGCACCACCCAGCACCTCGCCGTCACGCCGCTTGCCCCGATTCTGGGAGAACTCCGCCATGGTCAGTCTGCCTGTGAGGGAGCCAGGATGCAGGGACTGCTCAGCGAGGGGGCCAGCCTGGCAGCAGGGCAGGTGCTCTGGCTGCCATCACGCTGGGATCACTGAGGCGAGCCCTCAAGGGGTCTTCCTGAGAATTTCTGAGGAGAGAGGGGCCACTTGCAGAGTTTCTTGGGAGGAGACTGGCAGCTGCAAACAACGCCCCCGCCCCCAGACAGGGGGGCTCACGGAGAAAGGCCCCACGGCCCACGGCAGGTCAGAGGAAGGGGACGATCTCCCCCATCCCACCCTCCAGGCCCCCCAACGTCGCCAAAGACCACAAGGTGGATCTTATCGACACCACCCCCATTCTACAAGGAAATGGGCTGCTGGCCCACACAGCGAGTGCTGGGGACTCAGACCCACAACTGCAAAACCTCTGGACTCTTACCCACCCCTATGGCCAGGTCCTAGGAGCGGCCTCATCTTGGTTCCTAACCAGGGCTGACACTGCAGGAGGAAACCAAGGCCCAGAGAAGACCACGGCTTGAGGTCCCAGGCAGCCTGCCCCGGACAGTCGGTCGGGCCTTTGGGGGGACCTCAGTGAAGCTCAGGGGGCCAGTTGCCCCCCAAATCTCAGCAAGGCAGCCCCCAGAGACAAGGCTACCAGGTCGGAGAACAGGACAAGTGAGACTTTATAAGGACTTGGCATTAAAATTCTGAGCCTGTAAGATCCCAGTTAATATGCCTGCTTTCCAAATTAATATTGAAGGGAATATCCAGTTTCCAGAAGGACCTCACTCTTTGTTTATAAAAGGTTATCACAAGTGAAGTGTTTAAATAGTTACCTAAATATTCTCAAATATGTTAGTTTTTTAAAAATTGTTGGTCATACACATATTTAGTCTTGTGTAGACCTTTCCTGGATGTGAATGATATTGCCATTTATAATCAATTTTAATTAGGCTGCCCTGGGGGCAGGAGCTTCCTGTCAACAGGTGGTGCCAGACAATGTTGAAGGCCCCGCTGCAGCAAGGTAACTCTAAAGACCACAAACAGGGCTAGCCCAGTGCCCTGGACAGAGGCCTCTTGCCTCTCGGGCTTCGGACAATGGTGGGTGGGAAGCCGACCTCAGCTGCTGGGAGCCCAGGCAACAGAAGGTAAACTGAGGGCCGGAATGCCCCAGATGAGGTTCGCTCATCTGTAAGATGAAGCAGGTGCGGTGAGGAAACGTCCAACGTGAGGAGCCCCAGTGTGGGGCTGGGAAGGCAGGTATCTCTGCCAGGCCAGTACGCTAAGCCCCAGCTCCAGATGCTTACAGGGGACCTGCCCTCAGGTCCCGAGCACTGAGGAGGTGTGACCAGGGGACAAGCCCAGGGGACCAGTCAGATGGCCAGGAAGAACTGTCTCGCTGAGGACGCCCGAACAGATGACCCTGAGCTCAGAACCAACTCAACCCCAAGGACTTCTGCCGCCCTGCTCGCGGCGGGTGCCCGGGCTCGGTTGCCAGGTGGGGCCTGCAG